GCCGGGGGTTGCTGACCCCCCGGCGCCGCCGCTAGTCACTCTTGCTTCTTGTTATCTGCTGCTGAGAAGCCACTGCTGCTGCTGCTGCTGCTCCTGCTGCTGCTGATGCTGCTCGCCGTGGCCACGTCGACCACCTTTCCCGCTGCTGCTGCGGACTTGAGTTCTATCTCTTCCGCTGGCTTTGCTGTTGCTGCTGCTGCTGCTGCTGTTTTGGCTGCTGCTGCTGCTGCTGCTCCCGTCAGCGACACCCGCCAGCTGCTGAGGGGCTCCTGCTGCAGCCGCTTCACTCGCGGCCAAAAGATCGCCACCCAACAGAGGCCTGAACGGAAACAAACGGTGCAACTCTTGCTGCTGCTGCTGCTGTTACTGCTGCTGTTGCTGCTGCTGTTGCTGCTGAGTTGGTGTTTGATGGTCCTGCAACCCTGGGTGCTGCTGCTGCTGGCGCTGCTGCTGCTGCTAGCTGCTGGTGGCGCCGTGGCTGCTGTCAGCACTGCTGCCAGTGCTGCATACTCCTGCTGCTGCTGTTGCTGCTGCTGCTGCTTTGAGATCTGAAACCCCTGTTGCTCGTCTCAGCAACTGAGCACTGCCAAACCCTAAACCCTAAAAGGTAAACCCTAAACCCTACCTAAAACAACACCTGCGCCAACTTGCACGAAGTAGCCGTCCAGCACTACTGGGCATTTCTCGCCGGCAGACACTGCAGCAGCAGCAGCAGCAGCAAGTGCAGCAGCAGCAAATGCAGTAGCAGCACCAGCGAATACAACAGCAACACTAGGTGCTGCAGCAAAAGCAGCGGGAAATCAAGCAGCACAAACCCGCCGCAGCTCTGCGCCACCACTGGCAGCACAGCCAGCAGCAACAAAACAGCAGCAGCAGCAGCAGCAACAGCAGCAGCAACACGCACCGTTAACTCCAGTACAGTCTCTCCTGGTAAGAGGATCCATCAGCCACAAACTAACGGCCCGAGGCCACTGTACGAACCCACAACCCTTAAACCCTAAACCCTAAACCCTAAACCCTTAAACCCTAAACCCTTTAACCACCATTCATGGTAGGCCTTTGGATTACCCCACGACTCGCCTAAGTTCCCAAAAAGATAAACCACAAACCCTAAATCCCAAACCCTAAACCCCAAGCCCTAAACCCTAAACCCTAAACCCTAAACCCTAAACCCTAAACCCTAGATACTTGGGATCCGATGTTTGCCATGGTGTTCAGGAAAGTCATGTAGGAGCCTCCAATGCGAGGGTCGGACACTCTTGCGAAAAAGGCCATCTGCAGCAGCTCAGATTCACAGCTAGCTAGCTAGCAGCTTGGCTAGCTGGCTGGCTAGCTGGCTAGCTAGCTGGCCAGCTAGCTGGCTAGATGCTTCGCCAGCTGGTTGGCTAGCTGGCTAGCTAGCTGGCTGGCTGGTTAGCTAGCCTGCTAGCTCGTGGGCTAACTGACTCGCTAGCTGGCTGGCTAGCTAACTAGCCAGTTATCCAGCTAAATAGCTAGCTGCCTAGATAACTAGCTAGCTGCCTAGCTGGCTATTCAGCTAGCCAACTGACTGGCTAGCTGCGTGGCTGGCTAACTAGCTAACTGCCTAGCTGGCTATTCAGCTGGCTAGCTAGCCAGCTAGCTATTTAGCTAGCCAGCTAGCTAGCTAGCTAGAGATTCAGCTAGCTAGCCAGCTAGCTAGCTAGCTAGCTAGCCAGCTAGCTAGCCAGTGTGCCGGCTGACCATGGAGACAAACATGAGGTCCGAGCAAACGTTATAAAGAGTTGTTATGACGAAAAGACAAACGTAGAAAAGAATAGAATGGTCTCCGTTGTGCAGAAAAGGAGTTGCTGCCACAGTTGCTGCGCACACCCACAAGCAGCAGCAGCAGCAGCAGCAGCAGCAGCAGCAGCAGCAGCAGCAGCAGCAGCAGCAGCAGCAGCATGCAAATGGCGACGAAGAGAGCGCCGTTCAACAGCAGGGCCTGTAGGAGAACTACAAATGCATAATTAGAACTATACAATGCACAATTGTGTTAAATTATTATTTTAAAAAAAGAAAAAGAAAAAAAAGAAATAGTTTTTCTTACCTGCCCATATGCAGCAAACGCACAGCCGCAGCAAATAGCCCCGCATGAACAGCCGCAGCGGAGCAGAGCCAGTTATCCACTTGCTCACCTGCAGCAGCAGCAGCAGCAGCAGCAGCAACAGCAGCAGCAGCAACAGTGGGTTTAAGTAGCTGCAAGGTGCAGGGGCGTAGACTCCAGCCTTTACTCGGAGTTAAGATTGAGGGTTTGCGATGGAGAGGGTTTAGGGTTTAGGGTTTACAAGGAAGGGGCAGACAACGCTAAAAGGCATGAAAACACAAATCAGGGTTTATGGTCTAGGGTTTAGGGTTTACGAGGAAGGGGCAGACAATGCCGAAAGGCATGAGAAGAGGAGCAAAGAAAGCAAGTTGTTCTTTGCTAACTCCTCTTTCTATTATCTTTAATTGTGTTGCTGCATCAACAGCAGCAAATCCAATTCTTGCTGTTAAGACCACGAGCAGCAGCTGCTGCACTGGCGACTGAAACAGCAGCTGCAGCAGCGCAGCAGCAGCAGCGCAGCAGCACACGAATTTATGTACGCAGAAATACAAAAACGCACATCTAAATAATAATATAAATGGAATTAATTAAAACAAACATGAAAAGAATAAAAAGAAGTCAACAAAAATGAAAAAATGCAAAAATGAAAAAATAAAAAGTTAAATGCACTTCTGTGTGGATATTCAAATGCATGCATGCATTTCTGCAAAACCATTTTTAAATATTTATAAATGTATTTATTTACATAAATAAAAACGGACTTCTTGGCTTTTTACTTTCACAAATTAATATATTTAAAAAACAAATAAATGGACTCAAGAAACTGCAGCTGCAGCAGCTGCTGCAGCTGTTGCAGCAACAGCGGCAGCAAAAGCAAAGGCAGCCGCAATGGCAAAAACAGCATACAGAGCAGCCAAAGCAGCAGCAGCAACAGAATTAGCAGCAGCAGCAGAATTAGCAGCAGCAGCAGAAAGCTTAGGTTCAGAAGCAAAATTAGCGGCAGCTGCGAAACTAGCAGCAGCAGCAAAGGCAGCAGCAAATGCAGCAGCAGCAAAAGCAGCAGCAGCAGCAAAGCAGCAGCAGCAAACCTTCCACAACAGGCGGTAAGACTCAAGAGCTCCTTTGGGCTCGCAGCTGCCCTCTTCAGCAGTGCGGGGCTCCTCGCTGCACCCACACACTTCAACCTCTAAACCCTGAACCCCAAACCCTAAACCCTAAACCCTAAACCCTGAACCCTAGGGCGTGGCTGGGGACGGCTGGAAGCGCAGAAGCTCCCGCGCGCATTGCTGCTGCTGCTGCTGCTGCTGCTGCTGCTGGCGCGGCCGCGGAGCGTGGCGCAGGGCTTCGGGGCGCGGCTCTAGGGTTTAGGGTTTAGGGTTTAGGGTTTCGGACTTGCTGAGGATCTCGTCAGCGAAGAAGTGCATTTCTTCGCCGCCGCTGATGGGCCCCGCATAAGTTGAAGCTTCTACGTGGCGGCCTGAGGGGGAAGTTTGGGGCCCTTCTGCTTCAGTTTCTTTGAAGAATAAAAGAATAAAAGTGGTCGTTATTACGAACACCCAGCCCCAGAAGCTGCACCAGCAGCAGCAGCAGCAGCGGCAGCAGCGGTGGCGGCAGCAGCGTGGCGGAGGCAGCGTGGCGGCAGCGACGCAGCAGAAGCCAGCGCCGCAGCAGCGTAGCAGCAGAAACGGCAGCAGCAGCAGCAGCAGCAGCAGCACGGACTCCACCATAGTCGGCAGCAGCACCAGCAGCAGCGTCACCGTCACCATCACCATCATGATCCCCAGCAGCAGCAACAGCAGCACCCCCAGAAGCAGCAACCGCAGCAGCAACAGCAGCAGCAGCAGCAACAGCAGCAGCAGCAGCAGGGCGTACGCAATGAAGGTGGGGAGGTCGACTGCGCCTTTGTTGTCTTTCCTGTCTACGCCCAAAAACCTCTTTGAAAATTTTGGGTCATTTAAAGCCAAAAAGCCAGCATAAGAAAAGCAGTAGCCCAGAGTTTGCCCCACAGTGTTGCAGGTAGAGGCCAGCCTGCAGCAGCAGCAGCAGCAGCAGCAGCAGCAGCAGCGGCGGCGGCGGTGGCGGTGGCGGCGGTAGCGGTGCTGGAGGCGGGGAGGGGAAGCAGCGGCAGCAGCAGCAGCAGTGCCCGCAGCGGCAGCAGCAGAGGCGGTGAGAGCAGCGGGGGGAGTTGACGCAGCAGCAGCAGCAACAGCGGCAGCAGCAGCAGCAGCAAACACAGCAGCAGCTGCAGGCCAAGCGCAGCTACCCCTTGTTCTCCGGGCTGAGGAGTGTCAGCGCCCAGCCGTCTACAGCAATATCCTGGAGCAGCAGCAGCAGCAACAGCAGCAGCAGGAAAGAAAATATTAATGAGGGCTTGAGCACGCCGAAGTAGCAGCAGCTGCAGCTAACTCGACGCAAACAAAAGCAGCAGCTACAGAATCCGGCGAAGCAGCAGCCGCAGAACCTAGCAGCTCGGCCTGCAGCAGCAGCATATAGCGCCTGTAACTGCAGCAGCAGCAGATAGCGCCTTTAGCAGCAGCAGCAGCAGCAGCAGCAGCACCTGGGTGGCCATGAGGAAGTAGAGAATCCCGAAAAAGACGCTCAGCAAAACCACCTTGGGCTCGCCGTCGCCATCAGGGCCTTCTGCAGCAGCAGCAGCAGCACCGGCAGCAGCAGCTGAGGCAGCAACTGCGCGACTGACAGCAGCGACACAGCAGCAGCAGCAGGAGCAGCAGGAGCAGCAGGAGCGGGAGCAGCAGCAGCAGCAGCAGCAGCAGCAACAGCAGCAGCAGCAACAACAACAACAACA